GAGGCTGCAATCTTCGAACCCTCACGCAAGGGGAAGGAGAAGGTTTCTGGCGAAGAGGAGCCTATTTCTGAGGATTGGGAGTCTATTCCTGATCTTCCTTCTGAGAGTGACGTGCCCCCTTCCTATAGTTAGGTTGCTGGGTCTAGCTCTCAGTCTGTCTGGGTTACCCCTCTCTGTCAGGCGATTAGAGAGTTGTCTGTTGACTCAGGGGAGTCTTCAGCCATGGCTGCTAACATTCCTAACATGGTGGGGATGACAGTGGCACAGTTTGACCAGTACTATAATGGTCTGCAGAATGATCCTGCACGTATTGCTGCTGAGACTCAGGCTCTGCAGCAGGGTAGTGATGCGGTTAAGATCGCGGTTCTGTTGAAGCGTGATAACCGTAACCATCAGGATCTGACAGCTATGCAGGGCCAAGTGGCCGCTGCTAATCAGGCTGCTCAGCAGGCTCAGCAGCAAGCTGCGGCTGCTGCTGCAGCTCAGGCTGCTGCGGCTGGTGCTGCAATGGGGGTTAAGGCTTCGCCTCCTTCCAAGTGGGAGAACAAGGCAAGTCAGCCTCCTATCCTGGAGTGGTTTGACCAGATCGAAGATTATCTTCGAGGGGCGCCTAATCCAGATTATCTGCGTTTGGCTGCCTCGTATCTGAATGGGAAGCCAAGATCGTATTGGTCTTCCCAGTATGCTGTGTATTAGCGTGCGAACCCGGGTATGTATCCTGCAAATGCTCGTCAATTTTTCAGGGACACCATGACTCGTGGGTATGGTCTGAGGACTCCCATTCTGTCTTATTGGAACACCTGGAATGGTCTCAAGCAGGGGTCCAAGTGTGGATGAGTATAACGTTGCTTTCGAGCAAGCTGCTACTAACCTTGCCGCTGAGATCACCGATGAGCAGATCAAGATCGAGAAGTATCGGTCTGGTCTCCAGGTGGATTTGAAGGAGCTCTACAGAACATCTCCTAACGGCACTCGTTGGCATGCTCTGCGTGATCTTATGGAGTATGCTACTTTGCAGTGGCCCATGATCGAAGAGCGTATGAGGCGTAAGCCTGCTCAGTCCACCAAGTCGGTGGCTGGCGAATGTAAGTCGTCGGGAAGTGGCCCCGGGAGGACGTCGAAGGCTCGGCTGTCTGCTGCCCATATGTACGAGCAGTATGCTCACAACATGGCGAACCGCCTGTGCCACAACTGCGGGAAGCCAGACCATATTGCGGCAGACTGTACTGAGGAGTCTCAGAATGGTAGCAATAATGGGAAGAAGCAGAAGAAGGGTAGGAAGGATTTTCAGGAACGCTAGGCAGTGCAGGACTGTTGTCTAGTGTTGATAATTCTGTGTTAGATA